GCTGCTTATCATTGTTGGGAGTTCAACACCAAGAAAAACTAGAACATACCCTTGAATTTCAAGAAATTGGGTCCTGAGAACATTTCCAACCCCAATTGCATCCAACACACGCCACCCGTTTTTGAAAAGGGTCAGTGAAGTTCCACTAGTTCTAAGTGATTCGGCTTGCTCGAGCACCAATGTCCTAACTCCAAGCCTGAAATTTCAAAGCCTCGAGCATTCAAATAAACCCATTGGCATTTAAACTAAAAGGTATGAAGTTTCGTTTTGAAATTAGAACCTACCGGTGAAGAGACAAAGCAGTGGCAAGACCAGCAATCCCTCCTCCAACTATAACTATGTCTTCCCTCCTGACCTCTGATTGAGCACTGACCACATTTCTACAGTAAAATTTAGTTCTGGGTCGAGCTCGAATCCACGGTTGGCTCTTGGGGAATTCTCCGCCATGAAAATGGAGAGCTAGAGATGGTGAAATGGGAGATTTGAGCAACACAGACGGTGAAGAAGAAGCCATAGCCATGGTAGCTCGTTTCTAGAGCTGGTCTATGACAATCAAGGAGAGGAGGAGAGACATTATTTTTCAGATTAGTAGTGATTTTAGGACTCGATTGGCCACGCAAACAAGTGGTGGAGATTGAGAAGAGTCGTGCTTAGAAATGGAACTTTCCCGGGAGAAAAGAGAGGAAAAATGGTAGCTTGTTGAACCAAACAGCAAAAACTTCATGGGCCGAGCGGTTTAAGGTCGCATATGAAAGCCCAACTGAAGAAGCCCACTGAAGATAGCGAGAAGCTTTATGTTCGCTTGCATCTTCCCACCGAGACCGAGCGACCTTCGAAAACGCTGAAAAACTTGCAGTGTCCAAAGATTGAAGCTCGTTGAAGAATGGAAGCTAGAATTGTCCCAGAAAGTAAGGGCACAGTGACCTCCGAGAGAGGGCAATTTCGAGGAATCCGAATGGACAATCCCTTTACTTTGAAGGTGGGTCAGATATTTACAGGGTTCGGCGTCGGTTGTGGCGTCGGTATCGGCGTTGGCCGACCCATAAACATGGGTAATTTTCTTTCCCCCATTATCGACTTTCATTCGCCTCCACCAGTTTCTTTCATTAGCTTTCTCTTTTGCACTGACGGATCAAGAAATTAGCCTGTGATTCTAAATACACATTTGTCATTAGTTGGATTGTTCAAGTTTCATTTGAAATCTTAATTTCATCAAATTTAACCTTAAATTTTAAGGTGTTGGAACTAATACTATTTGAAGCTGAGGTGCATTGTTTTCTTTTTGTTCTTTTTAGAGTTGTGGTTAAATTCAAACTCGATAGGAGCTATCTATTTAGAACATTAAAATTATATGTTTCCTAACATGTTGGAGGGCATAGGGTTAGGTGTTGTCCCATAAAGTTTGTGGTTAGCTGTGAGTGGAGCTGAGTAAAACTAGATGCACTCGATCAATTCCTTTTCCAAATCCTGCAGCAGCTGCACGAGCCTTCCTACATGCCATAAATGACCTACGAAGCGGAAGAATCCTAGAACAAAATGAGAGGTAGCTAACCAACTTCTAGGAGAGACATAATCGACTGTCTGTTGTTAAATTCTAACTCAATTGCCACTGTTTTGGTTAAGTTTAGGCATTTTAGTGTTTGTGCTTTGGCCTTTGATCAAATTTAGGCGTTTTTGTTGTTGGGTTTAGGCTTTTTGCAAATTGCTGATATATGTTTGCTCCTTGGTTCATGGTCATGTCTGCTGGCAGTCTTGCTACTATACGAACGTATGAAACCGATATTCATATATTTTCAGGTGCAATACCTGTCATGAATGAAGTAATGAGTGCCACGAGAGGTGCAACCGACGCACTTTCTGGTGTAACCAGGCATTTAAACAACTCTGTGAGTCCTAACCTTTAAACATTATGCATTTTGTGTTCTTTATTTGCCATATGAGATGTTGGACCATTGAAATTCTCTCAAATATCACATGTTAGCTCAGGAAATTAGGAGCTAAGAACATCCAAGGTGGCATTGGGTGTGGAGTTGGTTTTGGCCATGGTTTTGGCGTCGGTATGTCCAAAAATATCTTCTGAATACCATTTATGTCGTCTACGAGTTTTTGTTCATGTATTGGTCTGTTTAACCGACACGTGGCTTCTTGAATGTTAGGCCTAGCTATCAAGCCTTCATTTCTACAACAAGTTCAATCTTCTGTTATGGTAGGTGCCACAGAGCTCTTATCCATGATATATTACCCATTACGACTTCTTATATACACATATTTGAAGCTTGAAACCCAAATCTGATAGCAAGCAATGGAGAAGATGGTGACAAAATTAGGTAACAATCCTAATCTTGCAATTAGTCAAAGCGCTGTACCAGTATCACTGCAATCTGCCATGAGCATAACAAATGCTTCGGCTAACAAGCATCCTGTTGCAAGCATTAGAGAGTTTGCAAAAGAAATGCCAGAAACTGCCCCACAAAACCTATTGAGCAGCAGATCGTTTGAAACTCGAACCGAAAAGGTCATCGACAGTTTCTTGCAGAATCCTGTTTTTAAAGGAGGGGATACTGAACTGCAGGATGAGGTATGAGAATACATGCTCGGTTTTCGGTTCTAAACAAGACGAACTCCTGTAAAAACAATGAATGTTTGATGTGGTTTGCTCATTAAATACACTTCTTGCACATGAATTGATCTTGTTATGGAGTCCTGATTGATGTTTCTTGCATTATAGGTTGGACGCCTACCGCTCGAAAACCGTCTCTTTCAAATGGTAAGCTTTTATAATGGCCAGTAAATGTGAGCTGACTTCGTTGTTAGAGATGCATCATGGAAAGAACTAGGCTGTATTGACTAAGCTTTTGTTTATTCCTAGCACAAGTGACCAACTAGTTCCTATTTAAATGTTATTGCTTAAGAAATGAAATGTTTAGACTAATGAATCTTTGCTAGCTTTCAAGAATATGCTTTCCCTCCCACTTCGTTCTCATCTTTAGGATGGAGAGTTTACGAATAGCGACTGTGAGATCCCACATTGGTTAGAGAGAGGAACAAAACATTCCTTATAAGAGTGTGGAAACCTCTCTCTAGTAGACGCGTTTTAAAATCGTGAGGCTGACATGCTACGTAATGGGCTAAAGTGGATAATATCTACTAGCGGTGGGCTTGAACTTTTATAAATGGTATCAAAGTCAGCCATCGAGCGGTGTGCTAGTGAGGACGCTGGCCCCTATGGAAGGTGGATTGTGAGATCCCACATTGGTTAGAGAGGGTAACAAAGCATTCCTTATAAGAGTGTGGAAACCTCTCTCTAGTAGACGCGTTTTAAAACTGTGAGGCTGACGGCGATACGGAATGGACTAAAGCGGATAATATCTACTAGTGGTGGGCTTAAGCTTTTATAAATGGTATCAGAGTCAGCTATCGAGCGGTGTGCTAGTGAGGACGCTGGCCCCTATGGGAGGTGGATTGTGAGATCCCACATCGGTTAGAAAGGGGAACAAAGCATTCCTTATAAGGGTGTGGAAATTTATCCCTAACAAACACGTTTTAAAATCGTGAGGTTGACGGTGATACGTAACAGGCCAAAGCGGACAAGATCTACTAACACTAGGCTTAGGCTTTTACAAATGATATCAGAGCCAGTCATCAGGCGGTGTGCCAGCGAGGATGCTGACCCCTAAAGGGGGTGGATTGTGAGATCCCACATTGGTTGGGAGGGGAACGAAGCATACCTTATAAGAGTGAGAAACATCTCCTTAACAAACGCATTTTAAAACCGTGAGGCTGATAGTGATACGTAACGGATCGAAGCAGACAGAATCTACTAGTGGTGGGCTTGGGCTGTTAGAGTGAAGATCTCCTCGTTAATCTATCTACCATGTTATGTTGTCTTTTTATGCAGGTAATGATGCATCAGAAACTAATTCAAGAGCTTAAGGAGGAGAATAACAAGCTTCACCAAATATTAGTGGAAGACCTGAAAATACCACCCAGCAGGCTCCAAGCAAGTAACACAGGTAGAAAATTTTCTCCATGTTCAGACTGTTTGGAATGCCGAAGAAAGGAAAGGAGAAGGAGAAGCTAATCATTCAATCATTCTAAACGATTTCTTCGACACGGCTGAGCCAAAGCAGCATTCATTTGATCCTTCGTAGTCGTCTTCTCTACTTGCTGCATTTTCGAGAGCACCCGAACACGAACGGGTTGAAAGAATCTGAGGTAACGAGTTCATATCATACTTGAATATGAACAAATGACATCTGAGAAATAGATGCTCTACTGATCCACAAAACTCAGCAGCATAGGAACTTGGAGGCTATATTGAGTTCATGAGATAGCCGAGTTTGTTCAAACAAATTAACTAGCCTTTGAAATTTTGATGGTTCTTGATGCATTTCAACGTCCAAACTGCAAGATTTTGAGTTCGAGTTCGTGTTCTTCGAGTTGTTGATGTAAAGCTATTTTTAGCGCGTTTCTTGTGGTGCAAGTAAAAGCACATGTTAATCTATCAGCAATAGACGCGTAGTACGTTTATATGTGAATAAGTCTGTCATGACATACTAACATTAATGATATATGAGAGTAAAACCAGAGTGGCATAAGAATATTGAAATAAACCGTGTATCATATTTTTACGATGTTGACAACCTATTCAGCTACCCACTTTAATGTTCGATAATTTTCAACCTGATCATTTAATATTCATGTCACTACAATAAACACAATTCAATCACTATAGATTGCCCATATTTCTCCCCAAAAATTCAATGAATTTAGTGAGTTTTTCTTCCTTAAATTAATATTCAACGTTAAAAAATTATGTAAAAATACAAATAAAATACCAAAAGAAATCCCATTTCTGGAATATAGTTTGAACGAGAAGGGACAGAACGGCGAGTTCGAATGATCTAGAAACGTACCTTCATTAATAGATATCTTTTCTCAGAATTTCGTTTTTATTTCAGATTTCGGTTCGTCGTCATCGTTAGTTCGAAGCAATCAAAATGGATGTGTTCTCATCTATCTTCGATTCTCAAGCAGGATCCAGAAACCGTTGGAGCTATGATTCTCACAAGAATTCCCGCCAGATTTCGCCGGCCGTTCAATCTCATCTCCAGCAGGTCGGATTCTCTATTATTTTCTTTTTATAGTGATTTCATCATGTTATCTAGAAGCAGTTGGAAGTGATTTTGAATTTGAATTTACCAAACGAACGTTGTTGTTATTGAGCAGATGAGTTTAGAGAAAGAAGATCTAATGAATTAGGAATTTAGTAACTAATTCTTCCTTCATATGGATGTGATTATAGTTAACCTTATGAAGTATTGCGAATCTGCAGGTTTACCTTACTCTAGGTTGTGCTTTAGTTGCATCTGCGGCTGGAGCTTATCTTCATATGCTTTGGAACATTGGCGGTGTTCTCACAACACTTGCTGGTATCGGAAGCATCGCATGGCTAATGGTCACTCCTCCATATGAAGAGGTAGATTTCTTTACTTATTTTGTGTTCTCAGTATTGTATCTTTGGTTCATGTCTTGTGATTTTATCATCAGAAAAAGAGGGTTTCTATGTTAATGGCGGCTGCTCTTCTTCAAGGAGCTTCAATTGGTCCTTTGATCAGTGTGGCTATTGAGATTGATCCGAGGTAAGTTATCGGCAGCATACAGTTTTTATCGTCATGATTCTTTTACTCTGCCCTTGAATCAAGCGACTGTACTTTTGTGATTTGGCCTCTGCAATTGACTTGAATTGAATTGTTTTTGTATTGTTAGGCTTTGGGAATGGCTGATCATTTGAAATTAGACCATTTTATTGATTTCATAAACTCTGTGTGTTGTTCCTAGTGTTCTGGTCAGTGCATTTGTGGGAACGGCAGTGGCCTTTGGTTGCTTTTCAGCAGCAGCCATGTTAGCAAGGCGCAGAGAATTCCTTTATCTGGGTGGCCTGCTTTCATCTGGAATATCCATGTTACTCTGGCTGCGTTTTGCTTCCTCTATATTCGGTGGTTCCACTGCCATTTTCAAGTTTGAGGTGTATATATTACTTTTTCAAGCTATTCATGAACAGGAAAGTAGACATTGATCCCCTTGCCTTGCAGCAGGCCTGACCTCAATTTTGTGTTGTTCGTCTCATTTGTAGTTGTATTTTGGACTTCTGCTGTTTGTGGGCTACATGGTGGTTGACACTCAGAAAATAATTGAGAGGGCGCATCTTGGTGATATGGATTACGTGAAGCACGCACTGACTCTCCTTACTGATTTCATTGGTGCTTTTGTTCAAATTCTCGTTATAATGGTGAGTTGTTCTTCATTTTGGTTGAAGAAACATTTGAGTTCTTTGGCAAACTTCCAAAACAGAACAAGAACAAATAGTCAAATCAACCATTAGTTAACGATGTTTTTGTTGGTTATTCCACTCACCCAATTCAATGGACTTCATTCTTTTGCAGCTAAAGAACTCTACAGTGAAGAACGAGAAGAAGAAGAAAAAGAGGAGGGACTAAATGAACGTTCGCACCTGAAAGAACTAGTTTTGGTGTTGGGTTAAGTCCCACAACGAGGGCAACCCAAAATTCTCTCCAAGTAGGATTTGAATTCACGATCAGTCAGTTAACAGCCGATTGATTGGATCTGCCGTGGACACTCGAGAGACCTCCACAAGGTATCCTTGTAAGTCTTGTAAATCGTAGCGTGAGTTTCTCTTGAGATTTTCGTTATCAGTACGTAGTTAGAAAGGACTGTGCTAGCTTGTTTGGGGATGAGCAGAGATCAGATACAGACATTTAGTTTTATCTTGTAATTTCCCCATGAACACAACAAAGGTTAGAAAGGTTTTCTTGTGGTGTAAGTCATCTAATTAATTGATATCATTTTCTCTCCTACATCGCCTTGCGAGATTGAAATTAAATTCCCGTCCAAAATATTTAAAATACATTTTGCAATTTAATATTGAAAAAAAAAAAAACGTTTCTTGTTGTAAATAGCTTAAAAGAATGGTGTTGTCACATTATTTTTTCGTCTAATGTCTAAATTAAATTAATAACAAAATTTGAGTTTTTTTTTTCGAGAAAATGGGTCACTTAAAAACTAAATTTTGAATAGAAGTGAATATATATTATTTTTTTTATAGCATATTTAGAAATTAAATTTTAATTTAAACAATTGTTCAAAATTGTTGGATATTTATAAGTTATAAAATTGATTGTAGTTGCAAAACTAAATATTACATAAGTATAAATTATTATTAATTAAAATTTAAATATTTTTTGTTGTTATAATTTTTGAATAATTATAAAATTTGTATAATTTTTTATATAAATTAAAAAAATGTTGTTTTCATAATTTCACACTTATAAACGGATGCTTTTGAAAGCTTAAGTTTTTCAATTTATCCTCGAAAATTGAAAATTAACAATGGTGTAAAGATGCATAGCGAAATCATCTTCGACCATATATAAATTATAAGCTCGAAGCAAACCCGCCCCCGCAAGGGAAAGAAACACAGCGTCTCGGCATCACTGCGTTCGTTCCAAATAGATCGATGGCTTCATCTGGTATGCTTCAACCCCATCTTTTGTAATTAAGAAATTCAATTTCGAAATGGGCTGTCATATTTACAGATTCGGCTCTGTTTGACTTCGCAGGGAAATCTGTGTGTTGAATAGTTGGAGGGATTTGGATGGACAAGGTTTTAGAGTTTGGACGAAGAGCCCTCTTCTACGTTAAAGTCCTCTCCGGCTATGAAGAGCGGCGGATTCGATCGTTAAGGTTGGAGCTCGAAAAGCGTCTCAAGAAGGTACTCGGGGTTGGATCTTTTGGTTTTGGTTTTGTTTTGTTATGATTAGGCAATTTCTATTAGGGTTCTTGGTTTTTATGTCATGGTTTATTGTTATATCATGGTGGTTTTCGCTTTGAAAGGATGGAACTGGTTATTATGTACGCTTAAATTCGGATGCAATGAGGGAAAGTGTAAATTTCTCAGCCATTTTGTGCTTGGAACATGAGAACTTTGACCATTTTGAAGAACTTTCTATTTGAATGATTGGGAAGCATAGAGGAGTTAAATTGGGGCAGCTGTTTTTCAGATGTGAAAACTGAGTTTAGGGCGAGTGTAGAGTGGGGATTCGAACTTCTGAACTTTTGGTTAAAGTATATAATACCTTTGGTTTGATCAATGTTATTTTCAAGGTTACGTTGTTGGTCATCGGGCTAACTTGTCCCGATGAAGTCATGAGTATTAGTTTTTGACTAAGAGTTGTGTTAGCTGATTATTCCGCTAAGTCAGTAAATCTGAAAAAGCCTTGCTGCCATAGGCCATTTATAAATTGAATCAGCCTACATTTGGAAGGGATGATTTGGTTGGTTTTTTCCTCTTTTCCTTAGAGGACCAGACGGATTACTTATGGTTGGGACAGCTTAACTTGTATGGTTTGAATAGAAAAAATGAGATAGCTTGACATGGGTTTCTTGGGATCTTCACAGAGCAACAGAGAAGCTCTGTTGTCCAAAATAAATTATCTGACTTCTGTGATTGTTAAAACTATTTGAAGACCGCTGCTGAGTTTTTCAAACCTTTATTTTTTTTTTTTTAGATTCTCACGTTGGTTGGAGAGGAGAACAAAGTATTTCTTATAAGGGTGTGGAAACCTCTCCCTAGTAGACACGATTTAAAATCTTGAGGGAAAGCCCAAAGAAGATAATATCTACTAGCAACGGGCTTGGACGGTTACAAATGGTATCAGAGTCAGACATAGGACGGTGTGTCAACGGGGACGCTGGACCCCCAAGAAGGGTGGAGGAGAGGAGAACGAAGCATTCCTTATAAGGGTGTGGAAACCTCTTCCTTATAGATGCGTTTAAAAACTTTGAGGGGAAGCCCAGAAAAGAAAGCCGAAAGAGGACAATATCTACTAGCAGTTGGCTGCTGTTGTATTTATCAAAACTTAGTTACCTAATGTGGATATTGAAGTTTTCATGTGCAAGGGACTATATTTTTGGGCGTTTGTTTGAGTATTAAGTAGACCTTTTTCTTTTTTGTACAAAAAACTTGCATCTTCTTTGGCATTTTTCTTTTGATATACGTCTTCAGCATTGCTTTATCTTTGCTCACGCCTTGCATTGTACCAAAAAGTTAAATATTGAGCATTTATGATGTTGGATGTTAAAAAATATTCAATTCATTCACCAACAAAATTAATATGTTAAACTGGCGTTGCATCCCTTGCTAGGCAGAGGAAAGAAAAGCTGCAATAAGACAGATACCAGAACAGGCTATCTTAGGAGAAGTTCGTCGCATGGTCGAGGAGATGCAGACTCTAAATAAAAAGTTAGAGGAAACCGTAAGTTTTATTTCGTCGGTTTTCCTAAAATATTCATTTTTCTTTACGGTGGAATCGATATTAAAGATGTTTCTTCTCCGATTTTCGACCTCATAAAAAAGTACACTTCTTATGAGATCAGAATCATTAAAGAGCTTACCATATTCATAATCTGTGAACATCTGCCTTCATGTTTCACCTGTGTCGATATTGGCTATCATCATTTATCAGTTAACAAGTTCTTGTTTTCTATAGTATACCCATTTCTTCTTTGAGGTTAAGAAAAGTGAAAATATATGCAGGAGTCTGCCATTGAAGAGTACTTCAAACCAATCGACAAAGAAGTAGAGGCATTAATGAGAGTGCAACTTGAAGGAGAAGAGAGAACAATGAAGAACATGGTTAAAGTGATCCAGCAACAGGCTTTGTTAGAAAAAACTGAGGCAGATAAGGTTGGTAGTACCCTTCAAACTGATAAAAATCAACAAAATCAAGACCCTTCAAAAAACTGAGTCAAGGTGATTTTAGGAGAAGACAGTGATGATTTGATTTGATTAGATTAATAAAGTCTGTTATCCTGCAATTCTGGAATTTGGATTTTGGTGCCAGCAATGTCATAATATATACACTTCACTGCATAGTCTTATTTATTTACAGAGATATAATTGATTATATCAAGACCTTCCAAGTTTTTTAGTAGTGTTCATCAGAGATGCTTATTATTAGTTGGGTAGGGGCCTTACTTCTGACGTAGTCCTCTGAGCTCACTCCCACTAGTTCTTAGTGAAGCTATGTCTATCTAACTTCAAAGCCAGCCTCCTCCATAAGGAGGGTCACAACCAAAGCTCACTGCTAGTAGATATTGTTTTCTTTGAGCTTTTTTTTTCGGGCTTCCTTTAAAGTTTTAAAACGCGTCTGCTGGGATGACATCCTTATAAAGAATGTTTCGTTCCCCTCTCCTTCAAGAACCAGCGGACGCTGGCCTTTGTTTCCCTCCTCTTCACGTGGGATCTCATTGAAGAGATGGAGCACCACACTTTGGGCTTATGTGTGTAAAGTCTTTTGTGATCATTACCCTTTAGAGGTATTATTTTGTTGATTGGAGTCCCTTTTAGGTCAATTTGGCTGTTTTTGGTGGGTGGTTTTTTGTGTTCCTCTTGTTTTTTTCCCAATGAAAACTTGGTTTTACCTATAAAAAAAGATTCAGAGTTTTCTAGTTAAGCTTGGATGATGTCTTCAAATATTCTAAAGCCTTGCCACCAAGTCACCCCCTTAGAAATAGACTTTATAAGACGAGACCTTTTGATTGAACGAGTTACATTCAACGTCAGACCTTAACCCATAAACTCTTCTTATCTTTGAATTGTTGGTCTGAAAAACCTTATAAAATATTTTGAAAGAAAAGAGGTTTCCCATTCATTAATACTTCTTGTTAGTCTGTCTCTTAAATGTCAATTTTCAACCTCTCTGTTAGGCTCCATTGTTTAAATTTTAAACATTAATTCATGATTAGTCAATTTCAGGTTCCCCTAATTTCAAATGGATGAGGTAAGACTGCCCATATCTGTTTCAATTTTGTATACACCACTTTTTCTGGGATTTTTTTTATTATTAAAAAAGACCCACATTTTTTTTTCTTTTGAAAATTTTGATGTTTACATGAAAATTATACAAAATTCTAGAAGAAAATATAAAGAAAATCCTGATCCGGAAATAGTTCATGTAGTATTCAAATTATAGACATGTATTTTGGGAAGAGAAGGTCTTCATTTTGAACACAATTAGAAGAACTTTTAGCATTCTTTTCGGATAACTTTGTTGACCTTCTTTGCTTTCTTTACCTATCAACTTTTGGGTTAAAAGTTTAGGGTTTATTCGACACTCAATAAAAGCTAATGGAGTCGACTTAATAAAAGCATATAGAAGAAGCCTTAGAGTTATAAAAAAAAAAAGGGATAAAGGGAACCTTGGAGGCAGGGAAGTGCGTTCTGCTGCAAGGATTGCCCGACATTATTGGATTGTGGCGCCACTTAGGCCGACATCATCCATCCATTTAAGCGCCCCGCCCACGTTTTGCTGATTAAAGCCCTAAAAAAAAGTTGTGGAATTCATGACATTCAAACATCTTTTATTGTTTCCAGTTGGGGGATTCCAAAATTGGTAGGTTAGGATACACAAATCCATTTTTGAACCCACTTTTACGAGCTGGTTCGATATTTTAAGCTCGATGATGTTAAGTTGAACGATTTCAACTAAGGGTTTAGAACGTTTTAGTTTGGAGGGGTAGGTTTAAGAAACCTAAAACTAATAATATAATTGGGAGCAAATTTGGATTAGGATATGTTATTTGTTGCTTCCTCGATTCATAAGTTTAATTTCGCTTGTTCTAACCTTTGTTTCCTTTTTATTAGGACTTTTTGAAGTGAATGTACTAATGTGTCTCGATTAAGCTGTAATGGGCGAGTAAGTTGCGATGGCTTACGACACTCCGACGTTGGGATGACATCAAGACATATGGGTCATGTCGATT